TCAAGATCTTCATTAAAAATTATTCAAATGGGACTCAACCTTCAGAATGTTGGAATGAAGAGCTCCGTAAACCCACTCTTTAGCAACACAACAATAACTGGTGAAAATTATAGGCAAACAACAATTTAGTCTCTAGAAATTGTCCTGAGAAACTGCAACAAATACAGAAAAATTATTCAACACAAACTACTAAATTTCAGTAAGAACAGCAAGAGTTCCACAGCCTACTTCCCTGCCGCCCTCCAGGTGGGTATGATAGTACTCCAGGTAGGAGCAGCCAAGAACACAGGGCTCCTTCTCAACCTCAATCCCAGTCTAGAGCTATAGTGTATTTCTGAGAAAAGCAGGCCACCAGCATCTAACCCTCCCAGCTTTATGTTGCAGAAGCTCTAATCTAGTCAAGATTAGGTGAGAGGTCTGAGGCTGTCTTCCTCCAACCATCCCTTATTCTTAAGGCAAAGAAGAAAAAATAAACAATGAAAAGACCAATAACCCATTTTAAAATGGGCAAAGATTTTTTTTATTTTTAAATATATTTTTATTGATTTCAAAGAGGAAGGGAGAAAGAGAAAAAAACATCAATGATGAGAAAGAATCATTGATCAGCTGCCTTCTGCACACCCACGACTGGGGATCAAGCCTGCAACCCAAGCATGTGTCCTGACCACGGAATCAAACCGTGACCTCCTGGTTCATAGGTCAATGCTCAACCACTGAGCCACCCCTGTCAGGCACGAGATTTTAGACAATTCTCTAGAAACAGAATTTCTTCAAAGATGTCCAATCAACACATGAAAATGTGCCTACTATCATTACTTTTAGGGAAATGAAGATAAAAACCACAGAATATCACTTCACACCAACCAAATGGCTATAATAAAAAAGCATATAACAATTGTTGGAGAGGAGATAGAGAAATCGGAACCATCATATATGGTTGGTAGGAATATGAAATGTTGAGTTGCTGTGGAAAATAGTTTGGTAGTTCTGAAAAGGTTGAATATAGAGGTACCATATAACCCAGCCATTTCACTCTTAGATTTACACCTAAGAGAATTGAAAACCTATGTCCATGTAAGAACTTGTACACAAATGTCTACAGCAGCATTATTCAAAATAGTCAAAAAGTGAAAACACCCAAGTGTTGACTGATGAATGGATAAAGTATGATATGGACTGGAACAATGGAGTATTATTCAGCAGTACAAAGGAATGAACATTGAAAAGATTATGCTAAGTGAATGAAGACCACATATTGTGTTATATTCACAATAGGCAATCCCACAAAGACAGAAAGTAAACTCATGTTTGCCTATGGCTGGAATGGAGGGTGGAGTTGGGGAAGAACGGGGAGTGACTGCTAAAAATGCAAGGTGTCTTTTTGGAGTGATGAAAATGCTCTGAAATTGACTGGTGATGGTTGCATAACTGTGAGTATACTAAAAACCATTGAACTGTGTCCGTTAAATGTGTGAATTGTGTGGTATATGAATTATATCTCAATATAGATTTTATAAAGTATCCAAGATATTAAAAACAACAGATGGTTCAGAACTTGAGGTTCATGAATCCCCATTTACCAGTAGGTCAATATTTTACATGAGGCTTTTCCCCAAGGGTCACATTGAAATATAGGAAGTAATAAAATGTGGCACAGGTGTTACACAGCTATGTGATTTGCATGTGTTTACACACCTGCCAAGGCTCTCTTCTGTTTAGAAACAAATCAGATGTCATTCATGTAGTCCTATAGAGAATTTGCTTGCAATGCCCTATCTTTTTGGATGCACTCACTCACTCATAATATTAATCCAAGTCCACTGAGGCCAGTTGTTCCTCCTGCTTCTAGATAAGTCTAGTCTTTTATCAGTTCTGCGGGACACACTGAATGGGAGAAGGAGGTTACCTGACTCTCAGATTACACTAGATTGGCCCTGGAAGTAGGAGTCGTGGGGGAAAGGAAGAGCTGTAGCAGCCACTATGGTCCTCAGTACGCTGCCATGTCATTGCTGGGAAGCATGTCCTGTGATTATAATGATGTCAAGTACAAGGAAACTCTCACATAATTACACACTCCTCTTTTCATCTTTTATGTTTTGAGTCCCAGTAAACTGCCTGATCCTGTACCGAGAATTTTAAAATTGGACGATAATGCTTTGTCCAGAAATGGGAATATAAAATTAGTGATCATGTTTCACGAGGGTCGTGAGCAGCACATGAACTTGCTATGAGTACACTGAGCCAGACCACACCCTTTGTTTTAGGGATTCATGTACGTCTACCTGCATCAGAAACCACCAGATTTCCCATTCCCGCCGGCACAGGCTTATCTTCCCACGTCTATGTTTAGAAGCGCATACCATGCTGATGAAAATGGGTTCTGTGTGGTTTCTTTACCATCAACTGCTTTGTAAATGCCCAACTGTTGTCTATAAATTAAATACATGTAGAAAGAAACTTGATCATAGTTGTTATTTATTAATATTGCTTTGATCAGGATTAATAATTCATGTAGTCAGCAGATATTTATTGTGCATCTACCCAGTACCAGGACAATTCTAGGCCCTGCATGAATAAACAAAACAAGCAAAAGTTCCTGTCCTTAAGGGAGCTTACATTTTCCAGGGGATGTCAGACATTTATGTAATAAAATATAATAATAACAAGTGAGGCACGTAGCACATGAGAAGGAGATAAGGCTCTGGAGACAAATTAAGCAGGAAAGGAGGTACAATGTTAAACTGTGGCATCAGGCTAGCAAGTAAAATTTCGTCATTAAATAATACAAAGCCCAACTGGTTGGCTCAATTGGTTGAACATCATCCCATGCACCTAGAGGTGGCAGGTTCAATTCCAGGTCAGGGACACATGCCCGGGTTGTGGGCTCAATCCCCAGTAGGGGGCGTACAGGAGGCAGCTGATGAATGTTTCTCTCTCATTGATGTTTCTAGCTCTCTCTCCCTCTCCCTTCCTCTCTCTGAAATCAGTAAAAACATGTTTTTAAAAATAATGTAAAGATCATTACAAACCTGGCCACTGTGACTCTGGGACAGGCCATAAGGATTACCAACTCCAAGTTAACTTACCCCTTAGGAGCTTTGGCTTGCCCTTCCCTTCAGTGTGTGTGTTTTTGTTGTTGTTGTTGTTTTGTTTGTTTTTTGCTGCCTTGGTTTTACTGCTATTTCACTAAAGAAAATATTACATTAACCACAACACATTCCAAGCTGACACGAGGAAGACATAAATGTAATACCTGCTCTACAACTAAGAACTACAACCTAAATAAAACACCACCTTATGATAACAGAATTTCTCATGAAGGAAACCATTAGCTTAAGCTTTCAGTCTCCTGTTGGCCTTTCTCTTCCCCTCTGCCCTGGAGTCTTGCAGTCTGCCAGAGGACTGTGTGGTAAATAATTAAGAGCCACTTTCCCAAAATTAATACCATTTGAAAAGTGAAAAGGTAGGGAAGAGGTTGAGGGGAAGAAAAACTCCCAAGCCATCCTGGAGAGGTGAAGAGAGAATAAATCTTTCCTAACTGCAGAGTAGAACATGGAATCCCACAGGGGAGCTGGAAAAAGGATGGG